CCTGCTTCCCCCCCTGCCTTCCACCCTCCCCAATTCCGACCCCCAGCTCGGGTCCGAAACACTGACTGTCCAACGCCTTGGGACGTTACTCCAGATGTGAAAGGCGCTATACAAATGCAATTTTGTTGTTGTGTGGGTAGATTAAATTGGCCCAGGCCTTCTCATGGTTAGCAAGATTAAAAAAACAGCCAGTGTCTTTCTAATGACCCCTACTGGTAATGTCCATCCCTGGCAGTCTGGTGAGGAGAGGTCAGGCTCTACTCTGACCTTTAGCTGACTGGCCTGCCGATAATCACTGATAAGGCTCACACATCAACAATGATAACTTGGGCAGGGCTTTGGCGGACAACTAGTGCCCATGAAACCGCATCTCAGCAAAGAGGGTACCTGACCAGGAGTAGAGCGGCATATGCCACTGGGGAGAAAATTAGAAAAATAATTGGACACTAGTTTTTTTTTAAAAAACTTTTTTTTAGGCGTGAAGAAACATATAGCTGACATGAACAGATAATGTATGGCACTGCATTCAAGCAAACACTGCCCTTCAGTCACTGCTTTGCAATGTTGTTTTCTAAAATATTATTTCTGCAACTTCAAAGAACACATTTCTCCTACTGATCATACAAACAAATGAGATTCATTAACAAATGAAGGAGCCTGGTGCCCACTCTGCACACAGAACTGGGATGGATTGCTCGTAAACAGATGGTTAGCATGAAACGTGAAAGAATCATTGGAGTCATTTAAATTAGATTTGGCGGAGAAGACGATAATAATTTGAGTAACCAAAACAATTAATGCAGGAAAAATATGTATGAGAAGATGTGGCATAAATGTGCAATACCACTGCAAGGAACATTATGAAAGAAACACAAATTTAGTGAAAAATATTGATAAGTTCCATTGCACGAACATTGCAATGAGTGGAAAGTGGGTATTAGACATAACTAACAGAGTATGGAATATTGTAGAAATTAAAATTTAGACAGGGGCTTGCATTAGTGGAAGGGATGGAAGTATGGGTATGAATTCAAGAGTTTTCTGAGTCACTTAATAAGTGGATATAAAAGCAGAAGGGGTGATGACAGAAGCATTATCTGTCAACCTTTGTAATGATGACTAACTGGTAAATACGGCCAGAGGAAGAACAAATGGGCAATGAGAGCTGCTTTCACAGTAGGAATGCCTGCAGGAAATTGCAATGAGAGATTTTAAAATCCCAATGCTCAGTGGTCAAGGTAGGATGAATGTACAATCTCTTTGCGGTGGCTTTTTTCTTTTAAAAAAAGCAGGTGAAGCAGATAAATGGGAAGGATGCAGTTAGATTAATATTAATATTAATTTTAAAATCCCAATTATTAATATTATAAGAGAATTGGAGTTTAAGTAACAGTAGGTCATTTGGCACACTGAGCCTGTTCCACCAGTTTATTACATCATAGATCTTTTAAAACTGCTTCCCTAACTTGCTCTCTAAAATCCCTTCACATCTTTTCTTCCCAAGGATCTACCGATCTCCCTTTTATACAACTGAATTAATTCTGCAGCCACAGCTTTCTGTAGCAGTGCTCTTAATATTCTCACAGCTTTCTATCTGTAGAAATGTTTTCTGATTTGGCTTCTAATCAGCTTAGCTCTTAAGAAATGTGATTCTCTGATGCAATCTGTAATTGGAGATCATTTCTCACAGATCCAAGTTTTGGGGTGACTTACTTCTTATTACTAGGAGCTCCCACATGCAATGTCTAATTACAGAATCCTGTTTGAATTTTGAACCCCACTGTGTGTAATTTTGGACAGCTTGCCTTCAAAAGGATGCAGATACTTTTCAATAGGTTCAGGGATGAATGACAAAGGTAAAGTAGGCAGACAGGAGCTCTGAGTTATGAGAAGAAACTCAAGGTACTGAGTTTCTTCATTGCAGAGAAGACTTGAGAGGAGATTATTGGGGGGGCAATATGTGATGTGATAATTATCATCTGTCATAATTATATTGCCATAATTTGGGTTTTTTAAGTGAGCAGAGCATATAATTTCGATCCAGATGGGTTATTTAATTTGGACAGTGAGCAGGGCACTTCAAGCAAAGTTTGAGACAAGGAGTCCTACCCCTCATAGAATACCTACTGTACATTACACAAACCTGATCAGATTTCAAGTGGACTTTCTCATATCTCGTTCTGAATTGATGCACTTTTTTCCTGCTTCCTGAGCAAATTCTATACTTTGAGGTGTCAGGTATCAAAAGCATTTTGACTGGTGGAAGGTTTTTGCAGACCGTAGCTTTTAACAGTAAAAAAAATTGAGAAAGTATTGGTTTGAAGTTCATGTGAAGCCGTTGTCAATAAGCTTCACGATGTACTAGATCACATCTTAAGAGAATTTGATACTAAGTTAAAACAGGATTCTGATTCTTCTTTGATTCTAAGTCAGGCTACGTTTTTTGAGATCACTGATGAGGCTGCATCAAACGATCAGGTTCAAATGAAGAAAGCCCTTCAGCCCATTTGATCTCATGATTTCAGAATAGCCACTCTACTGTACTCCAATTACAGCACCAAGCTGTGTCTTAAACTAGCCCATCATCCTGCCAAACTTCCTGGTAACCTTAAGCTTTAAACGCTCTAAGGCACTGCACTGCGTGACGGGTGCTGTATAAATGTAAATTGTTGTAACCTATTCCAGTCATCAATTATCCTTTGTGTAAAAAAAACCCTTCCTAGTGTCTATCTTGAAATTGCCCTGTAAAACCCAGAACCTGTGCCCACTTGTTCTGCAGTCTTGGTGTATCTGAAATTATTCTTTTGGGATTATGTTTCTCATTCTAAATCATATACATGTCTGAGATCTCTTAATTAGAATTTTAAACAATCTTGAGAAGAGAAACAAACATGGGGCAACAACTGTTGTATATCACATATTGCACTTTTAACAATATGATTACAGAACATAGAGATAAAGAATAGACTCCCAATATGGAACTTATTTTCAATGCAGAAAAGAAAAGATTGAGGGAAAGACATGACTAAAGTTATCGTCACCTAAATAGATTTTTCAATCATCTACTTGTTGGTCTCTCTAGCTCCACAATCTAGAAGCTTTGCCTAATTGAGAATTTGGCACCTCAAATGCAGTCCGACACAAATCTCCACACATTTATTCTCCAAATTCCACTGACTCCCAGTTCCCCAGAGGAGTGAGTTTAAGATCTTTGTCCTAGTCTTCAAATCTTCCATGTTTCCATTACACACAACCTATTCAATATTCTTCAGCCCTACTTTCCAACTGGCATTTTCCACTCTTCCCATTTTGGTCTATTAATAATAATAATAATCCTTGCATTTAATATAGCGCTTTTCACGTCTTCTAGACGTCCCAAAGCGCTTCACAGAATAGACTGTAAAGTGAATTGACTGTATATTTGTGGGCGAACACGGCCGTCAATTGCGCACAGCAATGTCCCACAAACAGTCATGGATTGAAAATGACCAATTTATTATTGTTTTTTTTTGGGAGGGATTATTATTAGGTGTGTGGAGTAAGGAAACTTGCTCAAGGTTTCGACCTGCCTGGAATTGAACTCAGGTCTCTCAATTGCAAAGCGAGTGCTCTAACCACTGAGCTACAGGACTCTGTAGCTGTTGTACCTCCACACATTGATACCTCCACACTCCCTTTCACTCCACCAAACAGTAACCAAGTTATATCCAAACACTCAACCAACCATAGTATCCAACCATATTTATATCCTCTAGAAATCCCTCAGAAAACTACTTTTTCCTGATATCAAAAGCCTTCTAAAAATATATTGCTTTAAGGTATGTCTTTGATTTAACATCTTTAAATCTCATTTCCTTACCAAGTGTTCTCTACTATATTTTGAGAAGCTCTTTTAAGTGAAAGATTTATAAATGTTGAATTGCATTCAAGCACTCAAACTGACTTCCAATTAATCCATTTGATTGGAAAAAAATGCTTAAAAATGGGTCTGAAATGCTATACTCTGTCCAGCGCCTTGGGATGTCCTCCCGACATGAAAGGCGCTATACAAATGTAATCTTGTTATTGTATAAAATATTCTATACGCATTTCAACAAAACATAATTGTGTTGTGAGTTTAAATAGGCACAAATGCGAACAATCAAAATTGAAGCGGAACTGAAGCATCTCTGCCCTCTCCCACCTTATAGTGTAAAGGATCTGTGGAACAAATTCCCAGCAACCTGGCAAAACCTGGAAAGGAGCTAGATATTTATCTGTTTGGGAATGGGATTGGAAGGACACATAGAACAGAGAAGTAAATATGTTATGGACAGCATAGTGATATGGGACCAATGAATATCAATGGAAAGCAACAATGGTTAAATAATAGACTTGGGATGGGCATCTTATCTATCAGCTTGATGAAGAAATTACGAAGAACGTCCCTCAGAAATAGTGAAGTATTACTTAAAATAATTGAAAAAAGAATGAAATGAGAAAAGCCAATGAAACCTAATCTTTCTACAGAGCATGTAAACTTTACCCTAACCTGGACTATCCACACCGAATCAGTCTGATCTTTTAATTTTCACCACTAAGGTCTTTGTATTATAGATTTGTGTCCACTGGGAAGAAAACTAAGATTTCACTACAAAACAGAAAAATTGAGTTATGTAAAAATACCAAATATTAGTCAAAAATTCAAAACTGATTCCCAATAACTGCACTTTTTTTAGGGGGATCGAGGGTGGTTGCCTACAAAATGAAGCAATAAATCAAATGGAAATAAAAGCATTCTAATTGTAGTTCAATAAAATGGAACTACCTTTCTGGGTATGGTGGTGTATCTGTAAAAGGGACCTTAGCTCTTTTCTTGTTTTCCAGTGACTGCAGAGTAATGAATTTAAGACAATCTTCTTCCCGAATGCAGCAATGAAACTGAAAACTATAACACTAAGCAATTTGAAAGAATAGAGATGGTTTTACAATGGCAAAACTAAAACTTGTTTTGTAAACTAGGCCACAGGTTTTTATAACTTTCAAATGGCTGTTTTCTTTAATATGCAAACTATATCTTTGCTTTGCCCTGAAAAAACCATTGCCATATTTCAATATTTTAACAGGTTTACTGGCATAAAAAAATCCTTCTTTGTGGAAATTAAATTGTCATTTTTGACTTTGATACTTACATGTCACAAAATGATAACTGTATGCAACAACCTACTATAAGCTGCTGCCTATTTGGTCACTAAATGCCAGCTATAAGCACTTCTAAAGTTATCTGACATTAACAGTTATCTCTCAAAGAGCAGGCTTTACAGTAAACCTTTTCTATCTTTCCCTTGATTAATGGCTGTCTTTAAAGTGCACTGAGGCTTCAGTGACCACAATCAATAATATACTTTTCCATTTGTGGCTCAACAAGCTTTACAATGTTAAGGTAGCATTACAACACACACTTCATTGTATTTATATACTTTACACATTCTTCTGTATAATAACTATTTTGAAATCATGTGCAGACAGGGAATTTTGGATTTTAAGAGAATTAATTGTTACATTTACAAAAAGAATGTAAAAAGGCAGCATTGTACATTTTCCGCTATGAAGAAATTGAAAGTCTGTAACTGAAATTATTTGTAACTAGAAAAAAAATTACACTGAACTAATCTTCTGTGACACTGTATATACATATTAGTTTGGCAGGTGAACATTTAATGGCAAGTCCACTACTTGTTATGAAAAGTAGTACATTTCTACTGATGGTAGCATACTCGCACTTTGAGAAGTGTTACATTCATTGCTCCATTTGTCACATTAATCAGAGCCCTCAGAATTGTGCTTTAGGATTCACCAAGAAAACAAACCCGAGAAGGCTGTGAAGTGCAAACTAAATGCCTTTTGTGGTTATGTTCATTTAGCTGCATTGATGGATTTTTCAGTTGTATTCTGGTGTGGGGCAGCATCTCCAGCTTCGATAACCACACTTTCTTTTTCAGGTATTGCTTCCAGGCTCCGTCTCGGCTTTGACGATTCGACATTCCCGGTGCCTGGCTTGTTCAGGCCATATGACACAGCAGCATAATGGATCTGCTTTAGGTTGTCCAGAGCCTCGTTCTTGGCATGTTTCAGCAGATCAGCTTGTCCCTGAGGAGAATGAAGGTTGTTACTGAAATATATTTGTGGGTGCAACTTAATATGTACAGCACAAAGATATAGGAAAAGCAAAAAAGTGCTTCACATTACAGCTCCACTTCTACTTTAAACTTCTAAACTGCATAATTTCAGTACAGGTCCCAAGATCCCATATTATTATTTCAGCTCTATATTGTAAAGCGGATGCTGATCCCAGATCCAACACGGTACTTCTGAACCTTTTTTCTGTATTCGTTCTGAAACATCCTGAGTATAAATAGGCCATCAAATACACTGTGCAGTAAGTGACAAATATTTACACAACTTCAGTTGTGGTAGGAGAAACACCAGCCAACAATGGAAAGCGATACCAACAGCAAAATATGGGATTTTTTTCCCAAGATATGTAAAAACTGCAGTTTGCAAAAAGCAGTTAGTCATAATAAATGGACTGCTGAATTTTGGCAGAAATAATTAGATCCAGCTGGGAAATAAAGCAGCAAATGCATTGGTGTTAAGCATTAGTATTTATACTGTAAAATCTACTCCTTGTTTTTGATGTGAGTGCTCACTGTTGGCTCCCTACATCCATATCACCCAATTAATTAACTTTTAAATCATTGCAGAATATCTCGGCATTGATAGCACTCTCACCTCTGAGTCAGAAGGTTGTGGGTTCAAACCCCTCATCGGGACTTGGAATCACATAATCTAAATTAACATTCCAATGCAGTGCAGAGGGGATGTTGCATTGTCGGAGATTCCGTCCTTCGGATGAGATGTTAAACTGAGGTCCTGTCTGCCTGTTCGGTGGATGTTAAAGATCCCACGGCACTATTTGAAAAGGAAAGGGAGTTTCTCCCAGTGTCATGGCTAACAATCCCCCAAATAAATTCGCTCAAGGTTGCTCAATTCTTCCTCATGGATAAATAGATAGACAAAGGTAATGCTGTGGATGCGGTATATATGGAATTCAGAAGGTTGTTGGTCAGGTGCCACATATGAGCCTTGCTAAAAAGATAACGGTGCATGATGTTAATGGAAAGGTATCAGCATGGATAAAAAGTTGGCTAAAATATGGGGAAACAGGGTTGTTTTTTTGCAATGGAGACATGCATTTAATGGTGTCCCCCAGGGGTCAGTGTTAGGACTAATGCTTTCCTACATTTATATAAATGATTTGGATTCTGATATAAGAGGCACAACTCCTAAGTTTGCAAACAATATGAAAATGTGTAGCTTATAATTGAGAAGATTGTAAGCACCTTCCCTGGTACATGGACAGATTAGTTGATTTAGCAGCTAAATGGCAAAAGAAATTTAATGCAGACAAATATGAGGTTATATATTTTGGGAGGAAAAATAAAGAGTACGAGTATATGTTAAGTGGTAGCATATTAAGTGTGAAAGAGCAGAGGGACCTAGAGGGTTAACATACATACATCTTTAAAGATGGGAAGGCAGGTGGACGAAGCTGACAAGAAAGCAATTGAAATCCTAGATTATATTAATGGAGGTGTAGAATATAAACTATTGTGGGCAATTGTGGTTTCTCTACTTTAGGAAAGATCGGTGTCGCTGGGATTTACTAGGATGATACCAGGGATGAGTGGTTTGATGAGCAGAGACAGAGTGGGATGAGCAGAGACTGGAGGAACTGGGACTTTCTCTGGTGGAACAAAGAAGGTTGAGGGCTGACCTGACAGAGGTCTTTAAAATTATGAGAGTCAAAAGGGAGAAATTATTTCCACTGGTCGGTGAGTCAGTAATTAGAGGGCATCAATTTACGATAGTTAGCAAATAAGCAAATGAGGAGGTAGGAGAACTTTTTTACACACACATAGGAGTTAGGATATGTAATGCCCTGCTGGGAACAATGGTTAGGGCAGAATCTATATTATCATCCCTTAAAACTATTAGTCTCATCTCTTGAAAGGCTGAAAAATGTTGGCCCTTTTTTTCCCGAAACAAATCTATATTCATTCAGACACCATTATTAAGAACCACAGACAAGATATACTTTATACTGTCCCATCTGTGAATCAAATGACTTCCTGAGCATTACCACAATGTAATTTACAGTACTGTGCTAATTAAAGATACCTTAGATCAGATATATACTGCCACTATAACACTATACAGTGCACTGGGAGAAACTCTTCTTTTTTCGAATAGTACCATGGGATCTTTAACATCTACTTGAACAGACAGACGGACCCACTTTTTAATGTCACATCCAAAGCACAACACCTCTGACAAAGCAGCACTCCCCCAAGTCCCCCCTGATTGATTTAACTCCTGCTCTGCTGCGAGTGAATATTTTGTCCTGCGTGTGATCTAGTTCCCATTACCAAGGGCAAAATCAGATATAATTAGTTGGATGGTGGAAAATTGGAAGCTGTCCTGATCCTGTCCAGTAGCATAACTCCGAACTACTGGATCAAATTGCATTAATTCAGGTACTTGTCTAACTGAACTGTGAAAACATAACTTGAAACTTGAAATCTTGAAGATAATTTAGTTTGTCACTCTGAGGCTGCAAAAAACACTGGATGTTGACGAGACAGTATTTCAAAAGAAGGAAAACAGAGTCAAAATGCCTTCAATAGGGGAGGGGAAAAACTCAAAGAGAAAGTAATTGTTTGAGGAACAAAAGTTGTAATAAACTATTATCTGGATGCCAATATATCAGAATATTTTGTTTTCAAATAAATTATTATTCATCTTCTAGGCACACATTGCACCCACAAAACACAGTCACTTTATAGTATATCCTGTGAAGCATTTTGGGATGTCCTCCTGACATGAAAGGCGCTATAATAAATGTAAAGATTAATATTATCATGTGCCGATTGGCAACACATACATGTTTGGTACACTTTACGGATAACTTTGTGACATTTCAATGTGATAATACGCTATATCAAATGCAAGAATTATTATCAAAGTAACCAAATAGCACTCAAAGCTATTTTCAAACTCCAAAATATAAAATCCATGTTATAAAATTTGTGCCAACATTGTAAATGGTAAATCATTTTATAAAATTACAATGACCATTATTATGAAGGAAATTAGTAGAAAAAAATCAAAGCTACAAGAGTTCCATTATGAACAACGAAAGAACTGTTGGAGCCCATCTCAAAGCCCATAAGATGTGGCTTTAACATTGGTCCAGGAGAAATCCATGTTGCTGAGCTGTCTTTCTGAATGATACGTTCACATAAGGTAAGAAATGTTGATGGAAAGCAATACTGCACATATAACAGGTATTAAGGACTATGATTGATATCTTTTTTTTTATTGAAGATTCCCATAAAACGCATTCTACATCCTTGTATCCCTGCTGTCATGTCACATCATCCTTAGAATCAGTTAATGGAATCAGTCCTGCCATTTAGCAATAAAATAGCAGAAATAGGCTGCGCTTTTCTTTTTTCAAGGAGTGAAAATGCAAGATTTAAACTAATTTGCTTCAGCATATAACCTTTAACGTCCAGATAGATGTGCTGTAATTAATGTATTTCAAAGTACAGGTGCACAATATCCACTCTGACTGACCTCAGACAGTGGCAACGACCTGTATGTGACAATATGGAATTAAATTGCTTCCAGCGTTAAGGATGACATTACATGGTTATTCCAATGAGCCTTTCTCAATCAGATGAGTCAAACTGCATTACCACATGACAAGAATCAAATTATGATGCTGTGTGAGTCTCAAATATGGAATACTTTATTCGATCAAGAAAAGTTTGTGGAAAAAGGATTCCTTTTTGATGTTTTTATTTCATTATTTTGTGGAAACTCCTAGGATTTTTCAAATGCTTACTCTTAAAAGTAGAAAACGTACTTTCGAATTTTATTGGCAGCTTTTTAATACTAGGGGAAGAGAGAGAGAGAGAGACAGAAACTGATAATCAGCTGCCCATCATCAGACAACAGATTTTCCCTTCCTCAGCAACATACCTAAAAATGTCTGTTCCCTATATATATAATCATATCATCATATTCAGTGTTTACAGTTACAGTATGATCTACAGTATTCAATTTTACTGCTCCTCTATTTCCAACGAATGACTCAGAACTTAGATTCTATTCAACGTGTCGTTCATTCTGAGTCAAGAGCACACTATGTCCTGAACAGGGACATGGAAAATTGATCAGAATGTAGCTCTCAAATTGTGAGCTGAGGTGAAAGGGGGGGTTAGGGGGGAGGGCTGTATCCTCAAACCAGAAGGAAATTTCTATCATTTAGCAAGTCGTAGCAAGTCAAAGGATCATTATTATTAACTTAACTTATTAATTATTTATAGTATATAATAATTGGATTTGCTTTACTGTTCTGGTGAGCCAGGATGACCCTGCTTCAAAGAATGAGAACTTTCAAAATAAGCTTCTAGTAAAGCATACATATTTCATCATACTAAATAAAAATCTCATTACATTTAATGAAAAAATACAAATGTTAAATGACTAATATTTTATCTATATAATAGCAGCAAACCCACAAACAGCCTCAACTTATGAACTTGGATTTTAAATTGATATTAGTTAATTAAAGTCAGTTCAGTATTGCAATACAAATGAAAATAACAAAGCAGTCTTTAACCTCACAGAAGTGATTATTTAAACATGCATGTGTGCTTCATGAAGGGCAAAGACCATGTGATTTAAAGATGTAAACTGCAGCCTGAATGCACATGCATTAAGGATGATATTTTGTTGATTAGCTGGAAAATCCTTTGGGCAATATACAATGAGTGTCACTGGAGAAAAAACACAAAAGTATTTCCAAGGTCACAAAAGGCTTTTGTTCTGCCTTCTTGAACAATAATATGAGTAGAATTTTCTAAAAAAAAGCAGATATCTGCTAATCTGATACAGCCTATTAGTTATTTGAAATCATGTTTGTGTTAATCACTTAAATCCACTGAACAGTACAGTTGATACTTTGAATACCATCAAATCTTGTTCAAGCTTCACTGTATAATTATAGGCTTATGAAACATTCTTTTACGATTCTACCAAGCGTACTTCAAACTGACCAAAACTAAACTAAAGTAAAAATGAACATGTTTAGTGAGTGAACATTAGTTTTTTTTATTAACTCTTTCTCGCCTCTGACTTTTTGCTGAGAAACATTCTAACTTTGAAGCCTATATATTTTTAAATATATTATTAAATCACATGGTCTTTGCCCTTCATGAAGCACACATGTATGGTTAAATAATCACTTCTGTGAGGTTAAAGACTGTTTTCATTTTCATTTTAACATTAAAGTCGAGTGGACACTCAGATCAGTCAACTTCCCAGAACTTTTTTTATCAGCAGTGCCTATATTTCATGCCTATTTGGTACTGTTACCATTGGATTACCTTAAGTATCGTAATGTTCCAAGTAAAACTCTCGACAGCTTTATGAAGTTTTCTTCCTTTAAGACCTTCTTTGGTTCCAATATTGTGCAGGTTTTCATGGAATTCCATAGCTGCAAGCAATAAAATATTCATTATTCTTCAGCACAGGATTTGGTTATAATAATAATCCTTGCATTTGATATAGCTCTTTATCACATTGTTGAAAAGTCTCAAAGTGCTTCACAGAATATACTATAAAGTGGAATGACTGTATTTTGTGGGCGTAACATGGCAGCCAGTTGTAAATTCTCTTTTGCCCAAGGTAAATAAATAAAACTTTGATCTGCCAATGCCCACCTCCTCAACCATACTTTTTGATCGTTCTCAGTCTCTTCCTATAATCTCTATAATAATTAAGAGTCCTGTCAAGATAATGGTCTCTTAGATAAAGTATTATAGGATACTGACCTGTACTCCAACAGAAGTATAAAGGAATTACGCAAATTCAGGAGAACACAGCAGCCAAGTTGAGCGCAGTAATGTCCCACAAACAGCCATAGAATGAATGATCAATTTTATTTGGGGATTGTTGGCCAGGTCACTGGGAGTCCAACTCCCTTTTGTTTTCAAATAGTGCCACAGCATTTTTAACATCCGCCTGAACAGGCAGACACACCGCTGACAATGCAATATATCCCAGGCACTGCATTCAAGTGTCATCCATGTGAGTTCAATTCCCGATGTGAAGCTTGAATCCACAACCTCTGACTCAGAGGTGAGAGGCTGACACCTGGCTGATACGAGGCTAACTTTATCCCAGCATTCCTTTGACTCACTCCTTCCTTCACCTCATTCAAGGTCCATCTCAAGACCTATCTCTTTGACTGTGCTTTTGGTCATGTTTCCCCTCCCCACTCAGCTCGGACCCCAGCTCGGGTTCCCAGTCAATACTGTTAAGTCTGTGGAACGTCCTCCTGACATGAGAATCACTATATAAATGTAAATTTGTATTGTGTACCAAATGTATGTATTATTATTATTAATTGTTGTTGGAAACAAATCTGTTTTGGAAAATGATATATAGAGATAATACAAATAATAATTCTTGCATTTGATATAACGCTTATTACATCTTTGAGACGTTTCAAAGCGCTTCACAGAATATACTGTAAAGTGAATTGATTGTATATTTTGTGGCGAAACAAAGCAGCCAATTGCGTACAGCAATGTCCCACAAACAGTCGTGGATTGAAGAGACAAATTTATTATTTCTTTTAAGCAATTATTACCCTGGGAAAGAGATCCGCCAATCGACTTACAACCAGGTTCTACTTAACTGCTAAGTAAACAGAGGCATGTGGAGTAAGAAAACTTGTCCAACGTTTCGCCCTGCCAGGAATCAAACCCAGGTCTCTCACTTGCGAGGCAAGTGCTCTAACCACAGAGCTCCAGGACTCTTAATTATTATAGAGATTATAGGAAGAGACTGAGAACGATCAAAAAGTATGGTTGAGGAGGTGGGCATTGGCAGATCAAAGTTTTATTTATTTACCTTGGGCAAAGGAGAATTTACAGTTTATTTAACTGCAGCAGGTATCACTGATGATCCTGATCCTGCTTCCATCTGATATCCACACAAGCACAACTCTTAACTGAAGCGGTTGGTTACATAGTTTAAAAGCCAATTCAATATAAACAACAACAACAACACAAATTACATTTGTAAGTACCTTTCATGTCATGTGGCGCTGAACTGTCAGGGTATCAGGAACCGAGCGTGGGGAGCAGGGATGAGATGAGGGAGGGCAGAGGGGGTAGGAGGGTGGCTAAAGGTATGGTCAAAAAGTAGGGTTTTGAGTCATGGGGGAATGCAGAGCGGGTCATGGCGTGCATGTGGGGGAGAAAGGACAGTTGAAGGTCGAACAAGACACCCAGTTTCCTGACTGGCCATGTGAGGTGGAGTATGCAACCGTGGATGCTGATGCTGACTGTGCCTGAGGTGCGGAGGCGCTGGCGCGAGCCAATCAGGAGGGTCTTAGTCTTGCTGACATTCAGCTGCAAAAAGTTGGCTCTCATCCAGGACTTGATGTCAGACAGACAGTCTATCAGGACGTCAGTTGTCCTGGAGTTGAGGGTGGAGGCAGAGTAAGAATTCAACTCGGGAAGTAGATCATGCTCAAGCAAAGTTCCAGTGACATACTTCTGTTTTTCTTATGTAAGCATCCCAATCAATAAAATGTTAGCTAGAAACTACTTCACAAAATATTTTTGAAGTCAAATAGATTCCAGTTCTGTACTTTGGCTTTAAAGATATGTGTCAGAAATTATGTGTTGCACTAACGTTTCCATATATGTGTGGAACTCACAGTATTAGTTTTGGATTAGGGATAGCATTAAGTATAATGATGGATTTCTGCGTGTGTCAGAAAACAACAACAACTTGCATGTATATAGCACCATCCAAGCAGAGTAGCATCTCAGAGTGCTTAACAGTGACTGACTCAGAGCCAGGGGTAGGTGGGAGGTGACCATAAGCACAGTCGAAGATGAAGGTTTTCAGGTGGGACTTGAAAAAGGAGAGAGAAAGGCAAGATGGAGGGATTGAGGGAGAGTGTTCCAGAGTTTTGGGGCATATTGGCTGAATACGCGACCTCCAATGGTGGAGCAGAGAGAGGGTGCAAGGGATAAGCAGGAGACTGGCGCCAGTTGAGCGGAAGCGCAATTTGCAATAAAACAATAAAGCCACAGTAATTTGCACTATATAGCACCTTTCACATAGCAGAACATCTCAAAGCACTTTATACTTGAGCTGAGTGGGAGGTAGGAGCTAGTCAAAGGAGCAATAAGATTTGATTTTTAGATGGGTTTTGAAAACCGAGAAGGAAGAAGTGAGCTGGAGGGATTTAGAGAGAGTTCCAGAGAATGGGGGCAAAGCTCCCTTACCCACCAAATTTACTAACCCCCCAAATCAATAGAAGGACAAAGATATCTAACTAAATACTCTGGAACAGAAAGGTTACTGTGCTTCTGGCTCCACAGAAATGTCACGTATGAAATGCAAATGGAAGGAGAAGATAGTTTGTATTAGACTGATGTGCTGGTGTCTCCATCAATTACCTTGATTATCAGGAAGAGCTTTTCTTCCTGGAGGTTTTGCCTGTGATTAGTTAGCTTCCAAAGAAGAATAAATAAATCATATAGATTCTTTATTAGGAAACCACTGTTTAAGATTTTCAGGTCTGAAGGGATAAATTACTTTTTCCCAATATTTTGTTAGGTTTTTATATAACGGTTAAAAATTTTCCAAGACAACAGATCTTTTTAACCAAGTAGACTATAGCTTGGCTAAGCATCCTGCATTGGGATAAAAACACCTTTTTAAGCATTCCTGCAGCATACATTTGAGTAGATTTTGAAAACAGCTGGATTGAAATACTGCAGATTGTACTCAATGCATTATGCTTTGTGCTGCCCGAATCTAGTTCCAGTGTATTTAGCAGCATGACAAATAAAGCTGGATACTGACAAGAGCACCTTCTTAGAATTATTTTCTACATTTCAAATGAACTGACAATCGCATTTTCTGAGTTTTGCCTACAACAAAGTTAATTTGTTAAACTGTCCGTGTTGAGGAGCATTTATGCATATTTGCTGTTATACGTGACTGGCGGTATTAAAACATCACTTCCGGTAATTACTACCATCTTGCATCATGCACATTATATTAATCACATCTTGAATTGAATATCACCAGCTGGATAACTATGACTGCCACTGTCCATCATTTTCGCATTAAATGTGCCATAAACCATATCTGAAATAGTGTTTAATCACTGCCGTTTCTGATATATCCTCACAGATTTTGTTTTTAATAATAAGGTTGGAGTAAAAAATGTTATGTTTCATAACAGATTAAATAACATTCCATCAAATTTGTTACAAAACATCGCAATTTTTCTATCTATTCCTAAATATTAGTTGTGGGTGTTAGATCACACCCTATCCCCAAACCTAGGCACAATAATGCATCCGAATTAAGCTCCAATATGAAATCCAGTGGCCACTGATACAAAGTTTACAACTTTCCAATAATGTAACAAATTGTTTTCCCTAGTAGAGTAATATGTGGAAAAACTTCATCCAAACCATTATAGAGCATCAATTAACCCTTAGGTCAACACTGTTGAACAACAGAGCCACAAGTCACATGTGGCTCACGAAAGGACTTGGTGTGGCTCACACCCACCTTGGCTTCAGAAGAAAGCACGTCTCTGTGAATCAGCATTTTCTGCCATCACTTTCATCAAAGGAAAATATAAATCTCTTGACAAATGAAAGTTTGGCAGCAGAGCTGTGCTATGTGGTTGCACAATTGATTTCACCGGATTTTCAGAAATTGGTTGAGAAAAACAGCTGTCAACTCTCACATTAACGAATTTTTCTGCTTCTATATTGCTAATATTTGTTTATGTTTGTGTTTTGCTGCTGTCTATGTGGTCTTCTTGGTGTTGCCTTTGCTGAAAAAGAGTGTGACAATCTTATAAATAAATGTTTTGGAGGATTTCTGGGACTTGTTTCATTTTTCAACTGGAATGGTTTACTGTTGTTCACGAGCCACATGTGGGTACGACAATGCTGCCTTTGGCTGTTATCTGGTCCAGACAATTCCATTTATTACTTCTACACCTTTTCAGATGTATATTTATATGTTATTTATGTGCTTTATTACTGCAATATCAATGCTATTCAAAAAAACGAAATACTTGTGTTTGCTCTGCCAAGGTTTTTTTCCTTCCATCTTCTTCTAAACTTTATTCTCCACACCTGCTTATTTAGTCCCCTGAACAGGTAAATTGGCTGGGCTGCCACACAGCCTGTTAAAAGTATTCCTATCATCTGAGCTACAGAGTGGGATTGAGATTAGATGTCATGAAATGTTACCCAAGGACCCCCAAAATAATATAATACTTGCATGTGATATAGTGGCTTAACAACAACAGCTTGCACTTATATAGCACCCTTCTCGTGGGGAGAGGGAGGTGACCGTAGGCATGGTCGAATAGGAAGGTCTTCAGGTGCGACCTGAAGATGGGGAAGGAAGGATTAAGGTGGAGAGATAGGTGAAGAGTGT